AGGATATGGAGTTTAAATGTATTCTTTTCATTGTAAGAGAATTAAATTAAATTTCAATAAAGATAGAGACATGGTCTTACTATTAACATTCAAAAAAAAATTATGCTTAATATGCTAAATCTTCTAAATATGTGCAATATGCTAAATATCCTAAATCTACTAAATCCAATACTACTATTGTATACTAAACCTAAACAAATATGCAATCAATTGCTCAATTCAGTTAGACTATAGTAATAATTGATTTTCTATTATAATAGAATAGTAAAGGTTTTGAGAAGAAGGCTGTTAACCTTTGCAAGTTTAATAATAATTCAATATTTTAAAAAGTTATAAGTTTTGTTTGTTTATTTTAATAGACAATCCATCTGTCATCTAGAAGGAATTTACAAATTTTTATAAGTAAATTTTACTATTGAGCTAAATATGAAGTGCTCTAATTTAAAACTTTTTTGCATACTAAGTAAATTACTTTTGGACTCTAATAAATGTTGTAAAGCTCATCAAGACATTTTTAATTGTAGAAAGAATATTAAAATCAGCCTAGTAGAGAAATCTTATAAACTGTTTTGCTAATATATAATTTTTTTTTAAAAAAATTTTATATATTGATAAAAAGTTTTTAAAAATTTTTCAAGAATCACCAGACCAGTTTTGACATTCTTACCATTGATGTGTCTTGATGAAGCCCAAGAATAATTTACTTAGTAAAAAAAAGGTTTTAAATTAGAGTGCTTTATATTTGGTTAATAGTAAAATTTACTTATAAAAATTTGCAAATCCTTTTCAGATGACAGATAGATTGTCTATTAAATTTATACATACTGTTAAACTTCTCAAAACTGATCTTGATAAAATTGATACTTGCTAAATTGCAAAAAATTAATCTGCTAAATTTGTATAATATTAATATTTTGCAATGCTTTCAAATTTGATAACTTCTCAATATTAGTACTAAACCTGTCACCAAGCATATCAATATAGTTACATAAAAATTAATCAGAAGTAATTCTCTGTTGTTGAACCAGAAAACAATAATGCATGAATATACACAAATGTATAATCACAGAAATTTTAAATATATAGTCAACTTTTTAAACTAAACATAGAGAAACTAAATATTTAACTTTATATAAACTAAATACAAAGGTTTAAAAAATATTTATAATTTTTGTTAATAAATTTATGGTTTAAGATGTAGTTAAACTTTTTAAACTAAACCTTTTAAAAATTTAACAAATCGAATGGAAATTTTAACATGCAGAAAGTTAACTGTATACGTAATAACGGGCTTTAATTTAGGCCGAAATTCGAATTTACACCCTTGCGCGTTATTACACACAAATACGGTTTAGAATAATTAGTACTTTAGAAGTTAAAGTATTATAGTTATTAAATTGCAGTTAAGTAGCCAAATTGTCATTGCCAAACTTTAAATATTAGGTAACAATAACATATCAATATTCGGATAATATAGTAAACTGATATAGTATATAACTAACTCTTTACCAGGATATAGAACTTTGTAAAAATACCTAGTATAATAACATTTCTGATCATAACAAAAAAACACAAGTAATTACATAGTAGTCATGAAATAAATATTAATAAATCAAAAACATACAAGAAAAATGTTTATTCAGTATTATTTCCATTATAACGTTCATACCCAGTTATATCCGCAATAATTTCATATGATAGAGCAGCAGTAAGTTGGGGACTTGAAGTAACTTGTATGCCAAATAGATCTACAATACCCAAACTCACTGTAGTATAATGAAATACAGGACCACCTATATCTGCAATAGCGGTTTGCATATCTGTAATTATCAAACTTTCAGATGGTGTTTTATTTTTATCTAAATAAAATCCATTAAAAGCTTTT